TATATATATATATATGCACACATACACCTAATTCTATAAACATACACACACACACACATGCACCTATAGAAAACTTAGTATGACAACAATGCAGAAGTGAGATGTTTATGCAAAGCTTATTCAGGATTTCTTGTGTTTGAAAATCATCTGGAAATGGGCTTTATTTTTCAGATGGTAGTTTGGTAAGTGAGTCTGCTTCAGAGCCTCTCCCTTCTGGTGAGGTCAGGAAAGTGACAAACACTGTGTGTACAATGGAAATCACAAATTATCTGCCCTGCAGCAAATTTCAGTTTGAGTTCATGGTAGGGAAAATGAAGTGATATTTATTATAGCATAATTTGCATCAAGGTAAATGTGGCCAAGGCAATTCTACTCTCTCACTCTACTATTTACCATCCTGATTATATATGAGACGTCATGCCAGTTTGTTTCAGAGTTCCAACATTTCTTTATCTCTGTCCCTGGGCTTTAGCCCATGCTTTAAGTAAATTAAAACCAGGCTGGGTTTCAGATATGCATGAGAATTCCTTGGAAGCTGCTACTGCAAACACTTCACTGGCTATGGTTAGTGACTAGGTACAGTTACACGTAAAAACATCTGGAAATATTCTAACATAGAGAATATATGAAAACATTAGGCCTAAAGGTCATGATCATTCCTCAGATTAATTTCATGCAAGAGAATGGATCAATAGAAGTGTTTTGTTACCCTGCATTGTAACATTTCCATAGCACCAAGCTGACACACACTAGTTACACACCAGTCAAAGCTACACTTCTGCAAACCATTGTCATGATCTGAGTGTTTTTATTCTCCACATAATGCCAGTCTGGCAAACAACTATCATAGAATCATAGGTTGGAAAAGAGCTTTGATATCATCAAGTCACAACTGTTAACCCAGCACTGCCAACTGCATTATGTAAATGTCTTGCTTTGAAGTTACACATAGTATCCAGTGATTTCCATGGAAACTGTGTGGATTGAAGCATTTACTAAGTACATGCACAATCGGGGTCTTATGTGGTGGTTATTTGTCAAACTGACTGCAAAGCACCAACTCAGAAACCAATTGCACAGTTAAACCCTTAATGATAAAAAAAAAAAAGACTGAATTATAACTAGGGTGGAAGAAACTAACAAATAGTAATGCTGTTCCAAAGAAAAGGAATAGCCAAAAATGCACCATTAGTCCAACAGAATTTTAAGTATGTGCTACTGATCCTTGTTTAATATGAACAAGGTTTGCTGTGGGGTAGGTGCAACTGAAGGGTCAATGTTTGATTCAGCAACATCTTACTCTGGCTTGAGACTGCCTACAAGGGAGTGAGAGTAGAACAAAAGTACCATGCAATAGCTGTGAATCAGACCTTTCCAGAAGGAAAGATCACATCATTCCAACCAGCAACTCAAGCTGCCTAACAGGTCTCATAACCCATTTCTGTTTGAAAATAAAGCAACCAACATTGTATTAAGCTACAGCAATAAAACAATCCCAACACCTGTAATTCTCAACAGCACCTTCCTTCCAGACTCCTTTTCATGTTAGATACATTTGCATGCACACACACACATACACACACATATATATGTGAGGCATCAAACAAATGCAAAATGTATTATTATTATTACAGCCATGGACCAGATCTGCAGCTGATGCAAACTAACAGCTCTGCAGACACTGTTCCTGCATTGCTGATTCATGTTAACTGAAAACAAGCTATTGTTTATTTCCAGAAGCAACAGAAAGGGAAATGTTCACATAGATCAATGTTTGGATTGTCTGAAAAAAAACGCATTGGAGACCAGTGTGACATATGTTCCATGGCCCTTATCCCTGATCTGCTCTGAGAAGTACACACTTTGCCTGCACAGTGACCTGACCATATGCAGCCTCGATGGCTGCCATATGACATAGGTAATACCTTTCACTGCAGGAAACAGGCTGTTGCCTGAAAGGAAATGCAGACAAATCCTTCAGGCAGCGTAAAAATTCTGAAAGGTCATTTTGCACAGCACAAATGTGATTGTTCCTGCCTGCCTTATGGTTTGTGTTTAACTTTCTCCAACAATTAAGCAAATGAGAAGACTGCTGATTGAATCCAGACCTCCTAGCTGCTATCCAGGTGCCTTAGCCAGCTGAGCTGCTAAATCCTACAGCTTGGCCTGTCTGACTATAAGCTGATGTGGGGGCTTTGAGAATTAAGAGTGTTTTTGTTTATGCATTCCTTCCTCCTGCTGTCTCCATTCAGAGCTGATTTTAAGTCTTTTGGGAGACAAGCTATTTGAATGGCATAATTTCAGTTTTAATGAAAATATTCACTAATGTTTATATGAAAATACAGGGCACCGTTATGGCTCAGGAACAAAGATGTCTTTACATTTCCCAGAATTAGCAATACATTGTGGACCACAGCCCTGGAGAGCAGTGGGAGGTACCCACCTCTAGCACAACAGCACATCATTTCTGCTCTAGAGGCAAAGTGTGAAAGACTCACAATGCAAGCCCAAAACATGAGGATCAAGAGCATCTAGTATTGGTGCTATATAGTTTGTCTTAGGCAGACAGACGAGGACATCATCATCATCATCACTAAAACAGTAAGAGAAGGTGATGTCTCTACCTGCAGACTGGTGAGCTCTCTCCATGCTCTGGAATAAATTGAATTTATTTTCAGTTTATTGTTGCTTAAATACAGTTCCCGCAGCTTTGTCATCCCAGACAGAGTCCCTTTTGGGATGATGCTTATCTCATTCTCCTTCAGCTTCAGAACCTGCAAGTTCTTTGGAAAGCCAAAGGGCACCGTGTGGAGATTGTTTCCAGAAAGATCCAAGGACTTGAGTTGCCTCAGTTTACGGAAGGCCTCCCGATGGATCTGGGGACTTTTGAGCTTATTGTAGCTCAAGTTCAGCTCTTCAAGAAAGTAAGTGGTAGCAAAATCATTCCTGTTAATCTCAGAGATCTGGTTATGAAGGATCATGAGTGTTTTCACTCTCCGGGGCAGCCCACTGGGAATCCTTTCCAGCATGTTGTTGTACAGGTGGACAGTGTGCAGCTTCTTTAAGCCCTGGAAGGCTAACGGGTGAATACCTCGGGCTTTTAATTTGTTGTTGTGGAGCAGAAGGTACTCCAGGTTCTTAATTTGGGTCAAGACATCTCTGTCAATCACCTTAATTGCATTCTTCTCCAGGTGGAGGAGGACGATGTTTCGAGGTAAACCACTTGGGATTTGTGAGAGGTTATTGCTGGACAAATCCAGGTATTCAAGACTAGACAATTTCCTGGAAAAGCAGGAAAGAAAACACTCTCCATTTAGATTCTGCAAGGTGAAATGATAACCAACTTCCCCTAGAATTTTACAATCTTTGCTTTAGAGTATTTTTACCCAGCACATCTCTCACTAATGACTGCCCTTTTTTGTCTCATCATATGACTCATGTGGACAGCAAAACAGTGAGCTCCCATATTGCCATTAGGGATTAGGACTAGGCACTGCCATTGTTCCCCAGCCACACCAGCAAGAGAACCTGGTAGAGTCCACAGACATCCAAACTGCCACAGGGCTGAGGCCTGAGACCAGTTTTGCAGTCTACTGTTCTCTCATTTGACACCACAGATAGCAACATACGAGCTACTACCTCAGAGAACAAATCCCACAAGGAAGATGCCACGGGAACACCATCTGAACACAGAATTTAGCTCTTGGTTTCACGGAAACATGGCCTGAGCATGAGTAATTTCTGTCTCTCTGAAAGGATATATTGAAACTGAAAAGCAGGTCTGCTTTTTAGACGATTAAATGTTACTCTTATGAAAAGCTGAAATGCTAACTCAGTATCCTAGGCTAAGGTAGTGAACTTCTCCTGACCCTCCAGCATTATGGAAGTGTGTCAGGGCTAGAGCTGCTTTGTGTAAGCTACTGAATCTGGATTCCATGGTCTCAGTTGAAGCTAAATTAAATTCTCAGACCAGTCACATATACCAAGTGGATGTGGATCAATGGTATAACATGAGGAACCCTGTATTCCCTTGTATTTCAAGTCAGTTTCTCAGTTCAAATGAGGCTTTTAATCTGCAATGGCACTACATAACACACTGCAGATGACTAGAAAGATTTCAGGAAATGTGTGAACTAATGCAATTACAGACATTACTTACTGGTTACTACACTGTTGTTCACAGCTATCCAAGCATGCTCTGAATGAACAAATACACTCTCTGGGTAAAGCACTTCATTGCTGCAGGTTGGAAGGTCTGCCCAGCTTGGGAACATCTCGATAGCACAATGCACAGACAGTATGATGAGAGCAAGGAGCAACATACACCCCCTCTGCTGACTCTGACAGGTGCCTCAGCTATAGCCACAGGACTGTTCATCACAATCTTAACAGAAATTATATGTCCAACATGATGTGGAGGTGGACTCAACACAGCTATAGTAAATTACTAAGGGAGGTTTCTGGGAGTGGGAAATGGAAAAGAAAAGCACTTTGATACATTTTCATGCCTGGAAATCAAGAAAGTTTACAGAATTAATGGGCAGGACAGAGTGTGATCTGGATTGTCATGCAGAATAATGGCAGTACTCAGTGCAAGCAGATAAATAATTGTTAACTTTTTGAAGTGCTAAGTCCCAGGCTAAATTTAGGCCAGCCAAAGGCTATTTCTGTTGCACCAGTTTGTAGCAAAGCTTTTGCAGCCATCTGGCTATTGAGCAGCACCATTGCATCCCTGCCTGCTCCAGCAATCATCTGCACTGGGGCAGAGCTGTGAATTCATAACTGGGTGTCTGTGGCTACTTTCAAGTCACCTTCACAGAAACACAGAGGTGGCTTTAGTGAAGAAGGTCTGGCCTTAACTTCCAGTGAACTGCTCTAGGAACAGGAAAGTCCCAAGTAAGCTCACTTTTGACTGGCTTGGAAGAACACAAAGTAGCTTTCAACATTGTTCTAGGTGGCTTTTCCCAAAAGGCACTTAGTATGTAGTGTGACTGGGTCTGTGGCTGTCAGGGAGTGGTACAGTCTGATGTTCAGTGTTGTGTGTTTTGTATAAAACTGTTCTGCAACCACCCACCCAGACTTTTGCTTTTGAATGGCACCATCTCAGTCTAAGACTTTTCATATCAGCTTAGCAGAGAAATGCATAGTCATTCAGCTTTTAATCAATGTGCTTTGTAAGATGCACTTTGTTCAGTAGATGCATGACTGCACCGGGGGAGGCAGACAGACACAGAGCCACAAACTGCACATGCTGGTCTCACCAGAAGGTTTCGTTGTCCATCCCTTCATTAGACAAGTAGTTATTCTGCAGATACAGCTCCCGCAGACCTGTAAGTTCACTGAAGGCTCCTTTGGGAATCTTCTCCAGCTTGTTGCTCTAGAGTCACCAGGAGCACAAAGCACATTATTTGGCATGAAACAACATAGGACATTCAGGCTCTGTTCCACTAACACCATGCAATTAAACTTCAAAAGGGCTAGACATAAGGTATTTCAGGGGACATTATAATTCCACTTAAGAAATAAATACAAACACCAGACTGAAATATCAGAACCTATTTTTATTGATTCCTCATGGAATCTTTGGGCTAAGGAGATAGAATTTGCCCCTTGCCTCACAGACAGTTTTATTTTGTATTCATAGTCCTTCAACCTATGTGCAAATGTGTAATTTAATCCAGAAAATTACCTCTGGAGTTTGCTCAGAATTTCTGCATTTTTTAAGACAGATTTCACCATAAACAAGAATTAGGTTGGAAGCTGGGAACCATTGGGGAATCAGCCTTCCTTCCAGCATTCATGGCATTCCCAGAGGTAGAGTTACCATGTTTAATTACTCCTATGGCCTTAGTGTGGCTTTGGAGTAGCCAGCCGGCAGATATAAACCAAATATAAAGCTAAATTCCACTCAGAAATTCCATACAGGAACTCTAGGATTTATAAAACACTGACACTTAATTTGTTAAACTTCCCATGATCTGTGTATAATAATGTGATGGACAGCCTGGACTAGATTCATGTTGCAGCTGATATAAAATAGATACTTCCAGAGACAGATCTGGCTGAGTGTCTCAATGAATAGTAAAAGAAAAAACAGATCTGTCACATCTAAAGTACATGTTTCTAACACTTTTGGTCCACTATCGGCTGCGTCTCATTTTTCACTGTCCTGTTTTTTTCCCAGTCAAAATATAAGGTTCCTATTGTGCACTTGGAAACAAACCACTCGTTTCTCTCTTCAGCTCCTCTGCCCTTAGCACAACTGGGGACAGCAGGGAAGAATACAAGTGTGAGATTCCTTTGGGAGATAATGATTATCCATAAATGGCAAAAAAATGAGGGGACTAGTAAGTTCACACTTTGCAGAGAAATTCCAGCAATTTAAAGGATTGGACTGGATGCATTTACTTTTCAAGCAGTATAAGCCTGTTCTCTAGAATACTTTAATGGGAATTAGCAATGAAACTTTCAAGGGAAAAGAAAGCTGAGAGGCAGCAGAGAACTGCCTGAGTCCAGGGACTGATAACAGGCTCCAGTCTACGCATGTCCAAGGAGCTGTCAACACTCAGAGCAAGTGGACCCAGGACTCCCCACTGCTGTAGTTCTCCCATTGTTAACAAGGCTGAGATCTCTAGCACAGACATGATGAAGTGTTTTTTATCAAAATCAGATGACATGGAATTAAAAATGCTGGAGAGCAGTTAATTCCACAACTTCTGCTATTGCACTATTACTGGAGAATTTGTAGCAGTAGAGAATCACTGATCCAAACTGTGTTGTCTGAATTGCCAGTTCAGTAGCAAACAGGAGTTACTGAAGCTAGGAAGCAGTGGTCTGTGTGAAATGAGTTAGGGAGCACAGCCAGTTCATAGTGGGTAAGCAGCTGTCAGGAAACAGCGTCAGTGGCAAACTTAACTGGGAGGTCAATGGAGATAGGGCCATGGAAAATCATCTGCCTTCTTGCTCTAATATATATTCAAGTCATTACATGCAGGGAAGAGACCAACAATGCAACCACACAGGCACTTGCAATATTTTTCATTCCTGCATGCTGTGAGCATTTTGATGTTTAGCAAAAACACAGTTACTTATGGACAAAAAAGAAAGGATATGGGAGACAGCTGCTGTAGAGGATGTAGCAGACAAGACTTACAATGTGCCTGAGGATGTTTTCAAGTGCACTGAAATGGCTTGGCTGTGTGGTGTGAATCCCATACAAACACAGGAATACAAAACCTTGTTGTCCTTACCTGTAAGTGTAATTTATACAGTGCTGGAGGGAGATTCTTTGGAACATACTTCAAGAAATTGCTGGACATGATGAGTATCTCCACATTAGCAGAACCATTGAACATATTATCAGGTAACCCAGCATCTGAAAGTTTGTTGTTATGAAGATACACAGATCTGTTGGAAGGAGATAAAAATGAAGTTCAACAGATAAGGAGATCTGGAGTTTTTTGTTTACCAAGAGAAAGCTGTTTTAAAACTATATTTCAATCTTTCTTCATTCCCTGAGATAATTATATGTGTTTTTAAAATGTGTCCTTTAATTTAGAAAGGGATATAGATGCATTACCAAATGGTTGATCCCAATGCTTTCTGAAATTTAGGTCTAATCAAAATCCAAACCTGCATGTAGGTACAAATTTCACAAGTGGCTTTGTCTTCTGAACAAGGAACCGAGTGCAAGTCTGGGACTGTGCAGCACTTTGAGACACAGAATGGCAGTGTGGTGGCCTCACTCAAGAAGGTTAGGCTCATATCTGTTTAAAATATCTGCCCCCTTATTTAACTTCTACTTGGAATCAACTCTGTGCTTGACAACTTGTAGGTCTCTTAAGAAAGGACCATCTCTTATCCCTCCATATTCTCTGCTCCCATGAAGGCTGGAAATACCCAGAAAACAGTTTCTTTCCTACTTCTAGAACTCAGAAAGGCATAGAATGCTGACAGAAAGACAGCAGATAAACTCAGTTGGGAAGACTTTCATTTTTTAATGAGCCATTGGGACTAAGAGGAAGAAAGTTTCTTATTTTTCCTTTGACCTTCTTGCTTTTAACCTTTAATGCCAACAGAAAAGTTTTTCTGATCAGTTTTTCAAAAATGGATTCATTCTTTCTTATACAGGTTGTAATTTTGTATAAAACAATGGAACCTTATAAAGTTATTCCTGCTTTTCACTGCCTTAACTGCTAAATGAATTCATTTGATTTAACAAAATAAATTACAGGCTTTTACTGACTTTGATTACCTCTTCCTTTCCCGTGTTTACCCCAAGATGCAGCAGGCAGCTAAATTTGCAGAGACAGGTTGAAACTGCCAAAGAGCCCAGTGTCACAGAGTGCTTTTTTAACTTGTTCCTGGATTCTCTACCAGTTGCAGAGAACTTGGCAACATCCTTCTGGAAGGAAGGAAAGGCTCAGGATGGAAATACAATCGTGTGATCACACACTCCAGGGAGTTCAGAGCCACACTGAACATACTGTTTACCCTGCATGGTCAGCTGTACTTTTAACTCACAAATATTTGCCTTTCTGAAAGCTTTGCTTTCCAAATAATCAGCCTGAGACCATGAACTCTTCTGGGGGCAAATAAAACAACTGAAACATCTGTGTTAGGATTTTATATCAGCAATCTCGGAAATCAGTGAGTTCCTATTCCGATTTAAATTAGTGTTGGTATAGGAGAGTGTGAAAATCACTTCAGAAGAGTCAATAATTTTAATGTCAAATCAAAACACAGCAGCTTCTGCACCTCACATTATGGACAAAAACATGCATAAATCTAGCTTCTTTCATCATGAGATACTGCCAGAAATCTGTGAGTGACTCAGACTTTTCAGCTTCCAAGAGCCTAAGAGACTAAAGGCCTTGGAAGTACAAAGTAGCTTCAGCTCTCAACGAGTTCAGCGGGAATGGAGAGTTCATCACAAGACTGGGCTGTAGGAGCTCAGCTGGGTCAGTCATTATTAACTGCTTCCAAAATTGGCTGCATAAATCACTGCCAACAGAGTTTGGGATGTCTTTACAGGATTTGGATGCTGAAGGGTCTGTACAAATTACTCAAAACCCCTCTGGAGAAGCCCATGTCTCACAGGAGGTGGTCTGTGTGCCTCTGAATTTGAGATGGGCCAATGTGCTGTGCTGGAATCAGGGTTAGGGTTAGGGTTAGGGTTAGGGGTTAGGGTTAGGGTGAGAAAATCACAACCTGCAACTAGCAGAGAGACCTTTGACACCAGATCTGAGGGTATGAGCCACTTCTGAAGGTGCTGAAGTGCTTAGCTTTAATAGAGTTGAGTTATACTCAACTGCACTGAGTACTGTACTTACCACCTGATTCTACTCTTAAAAACGAATAGACTATAATAAAATTGGAGATTTCTAAACAGTTAATCTTCATTTTGAGAAACTAAAGCTGTTCTTTTCAACTCCTGACTGATACACAAATAAAACGGGGATAATTTCATTGTCATATATGCAAAAGGGCCTGGCAGCTAGTAAAAGCCTTTGGAATGTGTTTGCTGGAGAGATTATTTGATCTTTCATGCTGAGAATAACAATCAATCAGCTTCTTTCCAAAAAACACAAGTGGGCAATAACATGGTTTAGCCAGATAGTTTCTTATCACCCACCAACTGCATCCAGGCAGTGGCAGAACACTAGTATTGCTTTACTTCCCAGTCCCTTACCTCAAGTTTGGTTTCTGTCCAAATGTGAGCCCATAGATCTTAGTCAGATAATTGGCTGCAAAATCTGCACTGATCAAGGTATGTGGTAGGAATTTCGGAGCCACCGTTAGCTGTAAAAGAAATATACAGGAGAATCCCAATTAAATGCAACAAATGTTTTAACCAAGTACTAGACCAGCAGCAAAACCCTTGCAAATTAATCTTCTTTAAGCAGGGAAAAATAAATTAAACTGAATATAGATTGCATCAACGAAAACAAATTGTCCTCCCTCACTAATCTCTCCAGGAAGGAGACAGACGTTGCTTTAAGATATGAGAATGTTTGTTTGGGTTGGAAGAGTCCTGTCTCCTTTTGATGGAAAAAAATCAAGAAATTGTTATTCAGAGAGCAAACACTTTGCTTATTATTGTTCCTAATTCCTGAATCTGGTGTGCCAAGAATATCCATCCCACCCCACAGTGACCTATTACTTACTTTCTTATCAAAGTACATTATGGGGGAAAATGTCACTTCACATGTCTGTTCCATTGCATCTATTGATGGTGATAGATGAGAATTCAGGTTCCCAAAGGACATGGATGTTTCTGAGCCAAATGATGAACTATCAGAAGGTACTTCAAAGCAAAGACCTACTGTACGGTGATACTTTGTTCACTAAACAAGTGATGTACCAGAAAATACAGAAAGGTCCTGTGTCCAAAACTTCATAGCTGACAACAGGTATAGGATAAATGTGTTTGCTCTTGGTCCACTGCTATTTTATCACTGAATTTTAAAAAATAATGCTAGAAATATCTGCATCTGAACAAAAATTGGTGGAGTGAAAAGTAATGATCAAACAAAGCTCAGTTTCACAGAACATCCAGATAATACAACAGCCAGGTTCATTGAGGGGTTGTTAATAGCAAACTCCTTCACCTAGAAAACAAGAATATAGGTTACAATCCAGGCTGAAGGACAGTTTTCTGGGAAGCATAAACCCAAAAGATTTATGCATCAAGATTAAGCCCTTGGGAGACAAATTATTGACACAGTGCTGTAACAGACGATCCTTGAGTACAGAAGCAGAAGATTACTGGATTGCAGTAGGTCACATGTGTTCCCTGCAGTACTAATGAGACCACTCAGGTGTTTTATGTGATGCTGGAGGGCTCTGCAGAGAATATCTTTCCCAGGAAGATACTGAATTCTTTGTCTTTGAGATCAGGATGGGAAGCTCTGGGCAATGGAAGAGTTCTGCCTTCTAGCTTGAAATTCATGGACTCTGTAAAGCTACCTCCTCTCAGCATTGCTGTTTGAAACAGAACCTGGTCCTTTCAGCCAGCAAGGCACAGCAAGACTCACATGATGAGAAAACATATTTTTTCAAACTTTTACTACCATAAAACTGCAATTGGTTATGAATAATAGTGTAAAACCAAAAATATTTAAAATATGAACAATGTGTGAGAGAACAGACACTTTACTGGAGAACTGCCTAACCCAAGGCTTAAACTGTATTTACCTAAAGGGTGGCTACAGCTCTCTCTGCTAGTGTGCCAAGTGTGCATGGATGAACTAAATCCATGAACTTGCAATTTACTGGGCTCATAACATAGTCCTGTTTTATAAGAGATGAAGTACATTATTTACTGTGTTTCACTTTAAGCTGTGCCAAAACCTCCATCCTTAAGCTGTCTTCAACTTTTAATGGACACAAAATGCGAAAAAGATCTTTCCCACAAATCACATTCCTATCAGTATTTCCAGATGGCATGTGAGCAGTGGAATCAGGCATTCTGCATGTTACTGCAGATGTCACAGTACTCTCTTGGCTTTACTGGTAATCTCTCACCTCCTGATCTGGGAGATATGATATCAGGGAACTGGATAAAGAGACTCAGCTCTGACTAAGAAGGTCTGACAGTGCCTCAGAAAGAAGTAAGTCTCTACTGTGACATGACATTGACAGTTCAAACACAGGAAACAAGAGAAACAAGACTTAATCATTTTCATTTCAGCTTCTCTCCAGGAGCATGGTCAGTTAGGTCATCAGTTTCATACAAAACAAAGGGCATGGCTCAGACACATGAAACCAGAGACATCAGAACCACAACAAAGAGGAAAGAGAAAGAGAAGGTTCATCCAGAAAGAGCTTTCACTTGCTCAGGACTTAGCTTTGGCATTTCAGCACTTGGTCGTGAGACTGAACTCCACTGGTTGACTGCTTGAATGATGGACTGTTGTAACTGCTAGCAAAAATTAAATGACCGAGTAGCTTTGTCTAGCACATTGCCTAAAAAGTAGCAATCTGCATTCCTCCAGCTGCAATTTTCTTGCAGCTTTACTGCTAGGCCTTCCTTTTCATGTGGCAGAGAGCGTCTCTCCACTGTTAACCACTGACTTGACAAATTAATTCAGAAGGTTAATACAAAAGTTTTTACCAGTTTTGGAGCAAGCACTCTTGCTTATAACAAGCTTTGATATAAACAGAAGGGCTGGATCCAGATGAATCCCACAACACTCTGGGGATACAGGGAAATGTAAAACCTTCTGTCACCAAAATCATCACTGTATAGTAAATAATAATGACAACTCAGGGCCTGGTCTGGAGTTTGATGGAATAATTTCTCTTATTAATAAGGCTTTACTGTGCATACTATGTGAGAGGTACAAAATATAAGTGTGGGATGAAAAATTAAACAGGAAATTACAGCATCCATTCTTTACTTGAAGTACTTGTTACTTATAAGCCACAGAAGGCTTTTAGTCCATTATATTTCTTTTCTCTGACCAACTATGCCAGTTTAATGAAAGATGATTTAGCTGTATCTGATGAGATCACAACAGAAGATCAAGCAGCATTAAGATAATCCATAAAACAAGGAGTAAACTACCAGCAAATCCCTGCTCTCCTCCAGACACCACAGTAACTCAATCTGCAGTGTTTCATGCTGCAGAGGAGATGCAGTTTGAAGCCAATCTAGTTTGTCCTGGCTTGGGATTTATAAAGAAAAGTGTTATTTTTGTGGGTCCACAACTTCTCACTATAACTACTTCTGACATTCGCTGATGTTTGCAATTTCTTTTGAGATTATCTTTCTCTCTGCAGCAAGGCCAGAAAAACCAACCACTTTGTTTTGTCACACAGGGAAAATCAGAGCGCAAGGGTCTGGAATATTAGTCACAGTCTGGCTTGTTCCTTTTTATGGAGTATTAACTGCCAAGATCGTTACATGGAAATGGTGCTTGAAAGGGAGAAAAGAACACAATGTTACTGTACTAAGGAATGGGTTCTATTCTCACCCACTCCATATAGAAATGTATGGAGTGATTCTGGATGTGTCTTGGCCTGACTGAAACCTGAATGTGGCCACGTGTACATAATCTAAATATCAAGTGGTCTCAGATTTTAAGAGGATAATAAAATATATATGCAGACATGCATATAAATATATATGTATAAAGATAGAGAGAGGGGGTGGCATGAAAGGACAGGACTTTTGTGGACAAAGAAGCTCTGTCTGATGTTTTAACTTATATTTTCCTGTGGCATCCCAGCTTTTTCTGTAGCAAATATTTGTGGGCAATCACTGTGGACAAAGAAAGCCATAATGGGAGCCACTCAGATATAAAGGTCTATGAGAAATTATTTCATTTCCTAGCCTTGGCAGGAAAGATGTGCTTCTGTCAAGACATCCAACTTGGGTCATGAATAGGAAACAGAATAGGATCTTCTCCATCAAAAAATGAAACTAAGCTCCTGTCACTGCAGCTACAAGAATAAATTAATGACTGGCACAGTTTTCCTGTGGTTGGGTATACCTAATAAAAAAGGGAGACAGGGAAATCTGGATAGCTTTTTACAGTTCTTGATGGCTCAGACACGTGTACTGTTTGTTCTGTTTGTTCACAAATTTTTCAACCAGCCTCATTTCATGAGATAGGCAGGAGTTCACATCATTACCCCACAGCTTACTTACATACAGGCAGGAACCAAGTCTGCATGCAACTGATCCAAAGCCTACTGAAGACAGTGGTAATTTATACATGTAGGGGCTCTCTGCACCTCCTTACACATGTGAACCTTTTCACCAGTTGCACAAATAAATAAGGGCTCAAAATATACCTGCATGTGTAGCCTCTAAATTTCTCATATAGTGATTGACTTGACCTTAGACGAACCTGCTTTAGAACTTCACTTCAGCACCGTTTTACTTATGTAGCATATACATTTCAAAGGAATTGACAAGTTGCTCATTTAACTTTCAAAACAGGATTAGAAAAGAACTCTGAAAGACTTCAGAGCCTCTTACCTTATTGTTTGCCAGGTACAGGTAATTCAGGTTCTCCAGGTGCTCAAATGCTTCCTCAGGCAATCCTTTAAAACAGGAAGAGCTAATCAGTGACACCAGCACCTTACTGCCTCTCTCAGTGAAAACACCAGAGGGGAGCTGTCTCTCTCAGATATCTTTCTTGTGAGATTGAAATATCTTCCATTGCCACTGAAACAATCTGACTCAGACCTTTTGTTGCCATTTTTTTGAGTAAAAAACCCTACAAAACAATACAGACTGCTAAGCACAATGGAAGACTATTCAGAATCAGCATACACGGCTTGTGGGTAGGGGTCAGGTCCAGAGCCGTGTAGACCTGCTGTAAGGCTGATTATCAGTGTTTGTAGCACACATGCTATCTGAGAAGTTTCTTTTGTAATTTGCTTATGCGTTTGCAAATCATTTTTATTGCAAGGACATAGTCTGATCTGATCAATCTGGTGTATGACTACATTGCCAAACTAACGCCAGTATCTGCATGTCACAACACTCCTCTGGTTCTGCTCCCCCACAACACAGACATCCACACAGTAATCCACCTCAGAGCTGATCCTCCCCCAGTAATTATTAACTTTCAGCTGAGGCACTCCACATCCAGCTGGTCACACAAGCACAATTGCTGTCACAATGGAAAGATTGCAAGTAGTACTTTCACCTGGCACTTAGATAACCAGGAGCCAAAGGTGAAGCTATTTCCCACATCAAAACACATTGGAAACTCAGGGCTGCACTGAAGCTTGTGAAAGAAACATGAAGGCCCAAAGGTAATAATGTCAAAGGCTGAACCTATTAAGCACAACCTTCCCTGTGCTGTGTAAGTGGCTTTGGGACCCATATATAATATTCCCACATTCTCCAGATAGGCTGTTCTCTATCATTGCAGTAAGGACAGCAAGGGCATTCAGACCAAGCGGGTGACACACAAGTTAACAACAGCTACATCTAATTACATCTTTTATGTCCCATATCCTCCTCTCTCACTATTTACTCCAATTCCTCAGGGTTTTTTTGCTTTACTTACCAACCCCTTGGTAAGTAATAAGGTAAGACTTAGCAAGCAAAACCTGCCTACAAAAATCAAAATGGTTTTAGAAGGGTAGAAGTTTCCTTATTTGCAACACGTATTTGTTATACCAAATTTGACAAGGACAGAAGAGGACTAAACTGCACTAACCAACTGACTAGACTGAACTAAACAGTGGACTAAAAACAAGGTCAGTCAGAAGGAAATCATTCGGCATGTGGATGGTTCTGGTTCTCAAGTGCATTGCATGAAGTGCCTGTGGGAGCAGAGGGAGTTTCCTGGATGAGGAGATCTCACGCCACAGTACACTGTGCTGCTGCCAGGTCTCTCCACTGGTGCCGCAGGGCTGCATTCTTACACACTGAGTATTATGTTTCAGATGATAAAGTGTCTCCATGATCTGTGTGATGGCCAAAGGAGTGAGGCTTACAGCTAACCACTCCAACTAAATCAATCCATCATTCTGTGGCTTTCCTTATCAGCTGTCACTGGCTCCTGGTGTTCTGGAGGCACAGACTCTGCCCACCCCCTAGCTCTGCCAGCTCACCTTTTGAAGTCAGCCTGTTGTTTTGTAAATTGAGAGTTTCCAGTCTGTAAAGACGAGCAAGGTCTTCTGGAAAGATTTCTTCTATTTGGTTATTCTAAGAAAATGGAGAGTATTAATCATCAGCAAAGTAATCCAAGCAGGATCCCAATAAACCCAGACTGTGAACTCAAATAATATCTGGACGTGAACCCACCATGTCAAATCATTGTCAAGACTTCTCTCTGTTATGAACCAAACTCAGACCTCAAAACCAAGACATCCAAAACCAGCAGCATTTGAAGGGCTGAACTTCTGCTCATCCCCAGGAATACCCACTGGATAGCGTGTGATTATGCCTGGCAAGGCCCACAATCCATCTGCCGCAGCCAAACCTTGTAGCTGCAGCACAGCATTTGCAACAAGGTTGGCATGGTGGATTTCCAAGTTTATTACTTCTGTTATTCATAGGCTCTTTTAAAAACCACTTGTCATGGGCAGGGAGCATCAAACTGGGCTCACTTTCACTGGTTCTGCTGTCAGGGGTGACTGCCATCAGATTTTCATTACCATGCTGACTAACATGTTGACCATTAATGAATGGTTCTAGTTTTAGCATCTAGGGGACCAGCCAAGGACCCACTGTGGTGGAAGCCAGGTCAGTTAACAAAAAGTGACAGCTGCTGCTCCCAAAGCCTCTCTGCTTTTGGCAGCAGAGACAGGAACCATGGCTGGCACACACCTGGGACAGATCTGCTGAGGAAGGTGCTAGCTTATGTTACAGTTTTGCTAACTGGAAAGCTCTGAACAAATTCTGCATTTCATCCATTGGACAGAATTGGCAGACAGGAGCAATAAACCAAAAGCAGTTGGTTAAGGGTCAGGCACTGAAAAGCCTGGAACTACTGCTCAGAGGAGGCATAGCCACACAGCTGCCATGCTCTAGCCCTGCCACATCTTCCTTCAGGTGTCAGAGCACTAGCAGGGAAAGGGCACCTGCCCAAATGCTGGTCATAAGGATCAATAACTAACTACCAGAGCATGGAAACCTGCTGACAGTCTAGGACATCCTGCTTCTTCTGCCTGAAGTTGGAATCTCACATCCCCACATGTCCTTATCCTGAAAAGACATGAGGTCTTGGAGTAGAACCATTTCCTGTAGTCATGACATTAGTGTCCTTCCTGGTGACAGTCCAGGACCAGGCAGTGCCATTTGGGCTGATGGATGGTGTTGGCTGTTACACCTGCTCCTCGCAGAGTCGGTGTGCTGCAGGGAGAGGTGGGACACTGGAGGACATGGGCTGGCCCTGCATCTGGACTGGGTCACTGTGTCACCTGAACTAACTGTTCACACCTGAACTAACATGCAGTGCTGCCTGAAAAAAGTCGCAGTAATGAAGTAACTGAACCTATCCTTCCCAAAGACACCTCAAAATGAAAGGCCTTCACCAGAAACCGTATTTGTTTGTTTGGATGAATTCTCATGGAGCTGGGAGAGAATAATCACAGAATCATTAAGGCTGGAAGACCTCTGAGATCAGTGAGTCCAACCTATGATCTAACACCATCATGTCCACTAGACCAAGGCACCATCCAACCTTTCCTAAGGAGAAAATAAGGAGAAAAAATTCCTATCTTTTCCCCTCCCTGGATCTGTGGGGAGACAATTAATGCCGATAACCAGGCTCATTCGACGAGCTTATGAGCTGGGCGTGCAGCACCTGCTGCTCCCGACGGGATGCTGAGGATGGAAGTGGGAAAGAGAGGATTTCAGGGGAGGGATAAGGGAGCGGGAGTCAGGGGAGGGATGAGGGAGCGGGAGTCAGGGGAGTGATAAACGAGCGGGAATCAGGGGAGGGATAAGGGCAGGGGCTGTCGGGGTCCAGGGGAGGGACACGGCCAGGAGCCCGCGGGGGCCGGGGAT